GTATGTGTTTTAAAATATTAAAATCAATCAAATATTTAGATTTAATAATGTTAGAATTAATCTCTTTGTATTCAATAATTAACTTTCTAATTCTTTTTTATAATTTAATTGTCTCTTTTATTTTTCATTTTTTTTCTTTATTTTTTAATAACACATGAATGTATTATCTTTTAGGATTCATTTTTTTGATTTATATCCTTGATAGTTTGAAAATACTACTAACTTAATGTAGTTTTTTTTGTTTAAAAAGTAAATAGATTATCTCAATTCTTGATAAATATTATTATATTTTTAAAGGTTGGAAATCATCCACCTTTAAACTTACATTAATAATTTTTTAACATTTTTTTCTAAATAGAGTAGATTATTATTATTTTTATATAGAATAGATTATATTTTTTTGTGGATACTTTTATTTGAATTTTGAGGTTGCAAAATTCTCTCTTTTAACCTGATTTGTATATTTTTTTTGGTATTGCTTACTATTAAATTCAAAAAAAAAAAAATCACAAATATTATATTTAGACAAAGTAAAAATAAATTTTCTAAATTTTTAGATCTTCAAAAATTCTTGAATACTCTTCAAGCAATAATTTCATATATTTACAATCTTTATTTTAAAAGTGTTAATGCTACGCTAGTGAAAGAAGTCAAAAATAATGTTTAATATTTATACCAAGAAGTTATGCATATGAAAGAAGTAAGTTTATGTAGATCAATCTTATAAGTGAATTCTAAAAATATTATTGCTATAAATACAAAAGAGCCTAAGATCAATATGGTAGAAATTTTTGATAGAACAAGATCAAAATTTTTAAAAATTCTATAACAAGTAAAGTTCTTTTTAAGGTTATATCTTACTTGATATCTTAATTGAATTATTCGATTAGAATATTTAGATACAATTTTATTTATAAATATTATTTTTTGGTTTTATCTTTAAAAGAAATAATTCATTACTTTTATATAATCATTTTTTTTTTTTGTAATTAATTATAACCACATTTAGAAAATTTTCAAAATTGGCTTGAAACATTGATTGGAAAAATAAAGCTTTATATATTAGATTGAATATGGCTTAAAATATAATATCAAAGATCATATAATGAAAATATCAAAAGCATATTTTACAAAAAAATTTATTACTCTAGTAGTTGCATGTAACAATTGACTCTTTGAAAGGTGCCAAGAATCAAGATTTGATTGAAGAAGAAAATAACAAGTAATAATAGAAATTTCTAAGTCCTTATAAATCTATTCATTAAGGCAAAACCTATATAAATTAATATAATTTTTATTAAGTAATTAATATCAAAAGAAAAAAAAATAGGTACTATTGTGAAAACTTATATTTATATTGTAGAAAAGTGGACTATAAGATAAAATACTATTACATTAAATCAATTAGATTTTAAGCAATGAGTGCAAATTTAAATAAAAAAAAAATCAACAAGCATAGACATTTAGTTGTAATAAGGATCTTGCTAGTTAGATAGTTATACAATTATAGATATCAACCATAGAAAAAAAAATCTCATGTTGTTGTGTGATAACACAACTATATGGTCAAAGAAGAAAGAAAAGATTATGTTATGGAGGAGCTTAAATAAAAATAATTTAATAAATTATCTTAAAAATAAAGATAATAGACAAGAAAATAGTAAAACTAAGAAATGCTAATATTGCCTTCATTAAGAAGAAACCTCTACTTACTTTGTAGGGATAAAAGTAAATCAAATCAAAGTAAATGAGATAAATAATTAATCAAGGTATTTTAAAGAAGAGATTAAGAATATATTTTAGTAAATATTATCTCAAAATATGAAAGATTGATGCCTAAAGAGGATTGGTATCATATTATATAAAATCTCGCTTAAGAATGCGCTGGGCACTTGATTGTGGAAGGTAAAAGGAAACTGCAACAACAAATCCTAATAATTTTAGAAGAATCATATATAAATTGAAATTAAAGCTCAAAAAATATAATAAAATATTGATAAAGTTTAATTTAATTTTATAGAAATTTTAAAAGAAATACAAAAAAATTCCAAAGAACTTCTCAAAAAATCATAAAAAAATAATACTGAAATCTTAAAGAAATCTTAAATAAATCCAAAGAAAATCCTAAATCCTAAACCAATTCTAATCAAATCTTATATCCTAAATTAAATCCTAATTAAATCCTAAACCTTAAATCAAATTCTAATCAATTTCTAAATAAATCCTAACTGAAATGTAATCAATTTAAATAAATTTTAGGATAATTTTAGAACCTTATTATCTATTGACTAAACCATTGATCTTCCTTAAAATTTTATACACCTCTCAATCTCTTAGTTCAAAACTAGCATAATAAGTTAAAAGAAAATTGAACTTACAAAAAGGGAGAAAAATATTATAATCTACTCAAATGTTGGCTAGCTTCTATCTTTGACTTAATGTTGATCTTTCAATAGCAATAACTCCTAATTAAATTACTAAATTTCTTTCAAATTTTTCAAAAATATTAAAATTCAAGTCAACTATTAGCTCTAATAAAAATCACCTCTATTCAATTGGAAAATTGTTGCAAATCTTAGATAACCTTATTAGACCTAAAATTCTTGTTTCTAAGATCCTAATCCACTTAAACTTCAATAATCACCAATCCAACTATTCAATTAAGCTCAAATTCAAAATATATGTTGAGAAAATTTATATTCACAATCTTACAAAATTTTACTTGTAGATCTGCTAAAAAACTTACAAAATTATCCAAATTATAAACCCTATTTTATTTCACAAAACCTAGAGCCATCTAAAATAACTTTGATTTTACAAAGCTCTTACTAAGTCATTATCAACTCAAATTACTTGAAACTAATACTCTAAGAAATCCTACAAAGTCTTCTCCCAAACTTCATTCTCTAATTTTCTAAAAAATCCTAGAATCACCATAAGTATGTAGTTTTGTGCCTCAAGATTTGATTTTAATCCAAATTGACAACCAATCCTCTTTGGATATCAATGTTTGATAATTTGAGGTAAATTTTACTTTAATCTATTTTTAATTATTTTCTAAATATGCCTATATTAATTTCTTATTTCATTTACTTTGATTTGGCTTATTTATGCTTCTACAAAGTAAATAGAAGTCCCTTCTATAAAATGTAGCATTAAGACTAAACTTTTTACTATCTTTCTATTATTTATCTTTATTTTTCTACTACAACTTTTTACTAGATTCTTTTATAATAACATCCACATTTTTATTTTTCACTATATTGTCATATTATTCCATGACATTGATTATGAATTAAGGTCAAAATCAAATCTCAAGGCACAAACCTATGCACCTACGACAACTCCAACATTCTTTTGTTGATTGAAGAACAAGATTTGAAAGTAGACTTATGAAAGTATTTCTAAAAGTTTATTTCATGTGATTTAAAGGTATATTAAAATTTTGAGGTTTTTTCAAAGTAAGAGATGTATTTAGTAGATTGGATTTTGAAAAATAAAAAAATAATTCACAAATTTGAAGATTCTATGAGTGTTGTAGCATATTTATAAGTGAAATTTTTTCAATCTATAATTGTATTTGTCTTAAATGTGTTTAAAAAATTAAATATTAATAAAAAAATTTAGATTGAGGGTTATGAGAATTTTTGTGGATTATGGTCTTGGATAATTGAAATTTGAGGCCAGTGAGGGTTTTTGCAATCTCTTAATATTCATCAAAGAAATTAAAGTAAAAATTAGTAAAAGAAATTTAGACTTTAAAATCTAAACACCAATCAATTTTTGAAGCTATTTAACTATTCAACAAGGAAAAATCATTGTTGGAAGATCAACATTCAATTTGAAGGAGGGTAGCAAATGTGAACCCGTCCTCCGACTATTTGGTGCTGGACATTACGGTAGTATTGGCCGTCGCAAGGAATGATATTAACCATCGTGACCACAAATCCTTAGCACACGTCCACATTTTATCGCCTCGAGTCTTGTTTTTTATCCCCTAGACTCTACGAGGGATGGCTCAGGCTTTGTAAAGTCTTGCATAATTTAACGCGTCGCCTCCAGTTCTTAAATATCTTAGTCTGGTCCCGTATTATCGAGCAATCGGAATCTTACAATCGACACCGCAAATCTTCGTGTCTTTGCATCGTGAACCATTTGCATTACGTTAACCTACCGGTGCTCTGTTGCGATGTTGGTGTTGTGGGTGTTGTGGTAGAAATCATCTTATCGCGAGACGGCTGTCAGCAGCATCGAGTCCTGATTTTTGGAAAATCTCGCACGCATAGAGTAACACAATCAGTACCGGTTAGTGCAACCTTGATTCACAGAAACAATCTGGATGTGAGAATGTCCTGAACCAAACTGGTGAGCAGAGATCATGGTGCGGGTTGGAAGGAATGAGGCGCTACGTTTTAAGAAGAAATTCAAGTTCAAAATGTACTGAACGTGGAAGGACCACCATAAGCTTCACCAAAACATTTTGTCTTCAAACCATTTGCCATTTAGAATCGCACATACAACTCATTCCCTTGAGACTCTACATGAAATTATTGTTTCGTTTTTTTTGTTTCTATTTTTTCTTTGTCGTTTTTTTATCTCCTTTTTTTTCTTCTTTTTTTTAGAATTGATTGGCTTGAATAATAAAAAGTTTGCCAATAATCACGTAGTGATTGGTATGTTGTACCATTCTACTCATTGCCCGCATGATCGGGAGAAAGGTGGCAATTACCGGTTTATTACACATCTACAGCTTATTGTCGTATCATTGAAGCGTGGTTTTCTCATGCAGTTTAGCAGCATCTGAAACCACTGACAAACATTTCTCAGTAGGTATCTCTTCCAATAAACAAACACACACACACACACACACATAATATATATATACGTACACATCTATTAGAGATTTTTTAAATACTCAAGTATATGGAGAAGCATCTCTGTGACATGCTTCGACTAACTCTTAATCTCAACCAGCTAATATTTTGATAAATGAATCGAGCTCTTCGCAAATCATGAACACAGAAATGTAATTGATGTTGAAGCTGAATTACAATGTTGTAGCGAGTGAAAAAAAATGCTTCCGGGTCTTCTGCCAACTGGGATTCTTGATATTAGAATAATTGACTGATGAACTCTCTTGGGTCCCAACCGACAAAAAATAATTCCCCCATATCCTGACTCGGTGACAGACTGATAAAGAATGCTTAACTTCACACATGTTGCAGACCCCTAACTCCGTTTTACAAAGAGAGAATGCTATCATTGAAACTACCTACGTCATTTTCAGTTTCCCAGAAAAAGAAGAAACGTAGAGAACTACGGTAATGACAATGAAGCCATCAATCACCAGGAGACCTATTGCATCAAAGACGTACTTTGGTGCGAAGAGGCCCCAAACCTGCAATAAATAGAAACGTAGTCAAAACAATGTTGAGTTTGAAGCATATTTCTGGGCTCGTAAATATGTTAACAAAAATCAGTCTTTGGTGTAATAACTTGAACTTAATTACACCAAAGCAAACATGAGCAATGGTAGTGGTAAAACGTGCCATGAGATGACGGCGCTGCAATGTAACACATATAGTAGTTACTGTTGTTAGAATGGTTCGTACCAAGCCGTACGAGAGGTAGCCCTGCAAGTTTGCAATTCATCAGAATTTCTGAACGTCTGAGTCTCTCAAGTGAAAAAGACATACAAGAATTAGGTAATGTTGTGTGGCGAAAGTTTAAATCAGTGAGAACGAAATTGAATGCAATGGGAGACGGATTATTGTTCCAAGCATTATCCTGGAATTAGCTGAGAATCACGTCGTGAAAGTAACCGCAATAGCTTACTTTAGCAACTTCAAGTGAGAAGAACCTGTCTCCCTCCAACGAGAACTTTGGCTGTGAAGACATTCTAGCTGCAGCTGCAGTGACCAGAAGAGAGAGCCCAATAACCGGAAGTATGTGCGAGGAGCCAAATGTGTCGAGGGCTAATAGAGCACCTTGTCTGTAGAAATAAAACTCGTCAAACCTGCAGCGAAATCGGCCACATTATGGTATTAAATATAAATGGTGAGGAAGCACAGCAATTCACACATTTGAAGAAGGCTGTACATGGATGGTGACTACATCAAAAAGAATCTGATAGGCCAATAATCAAAATCAAATACAAAAACTTTGAAACAACCTAAATGATAAGCAAATATGTCAAATGTTGGCAGATCTTTCCACTAGCTCAAATCTACATTTTTCTGCGCTACTGGTTCTGCCATTAAATGGAGAGGTGTCATAAAATGTGTCAACCAGCTGCTGTTGAGCTAAATATCAAAATCTTACCCAATAAAAGCTGCAGTAAAGTGAAGGCCATCAAAAGTACACCTGTCAAACCACCAAAGTATAAGAAAAATTGTAGTGTTATTGTTCCTATAAGACCACAAAATAATTTTTACTTGAGAGCCGCATTATAATATCGAGGATAGTAGAACCTCAAAAGCGAGAAAGAGGCTTCTAAAATCAATTAAGTACCATCTGGGACATGCGCTGAAAACTTTAGATTATTCCTTGACTTCGAAATTTAACGAAATTACAAGTATGGCCCAAACCTGTGACCAGTGCAGAAGAATAGCTGCACAGCAACTAAATTCCAATCAACAGCAACTGCAAAGTGGGAGCCCAAACCCACTCCATTCGACCCCACGCCTTGTTCGATGAGTACCTTGCCCGTCTCTGTCGCATTATCGTTTGAAAAATCCAGAGCTTGCAGATCCAGAAGACACCATACTGTACAAGCAAATAAAGTCAGTGCAAAGAGATTAAACCTAACACTAGAAACAGTGTAATGATCTCATCAAGGTTAGAATATCAGGCGATGTAAGTAACAAAATATTGAAAACCATGAGGTAGTTAAATCAGAATATATAGGAGAAAACATACTTTCAAGTGCAGCAAGGAGTACAACCATTGGCCCTTTTCTTCCCAAAAGAAGAAGGATTGTTCCACTTAATCCGGCCACTACAGCCACGATTCCTTCCACAATATGATGTCTACATGAAGTTAATACACTCACTCTAGTACTCAATGCAATTTTAATAATAGTGAATATAACGAGCATCAGACTGGCCATATATACTAATTGAGGGCAAAATAATCGAGAGAATTCCATAAAGGATTGCGGGATTTCCAGCAACAGACAGGAAGCTATATCCATGGTGAACCAGTGAATAATTAACAAAAAGTAAGAAAAAGGAATTGTCAATGCTATAGCCCAATAAAGGCTTCGAAACGTAAATAGTTTACGAGCACGTCGGGTAATGAGCCATACTAACGAAGAGAGGGGTAGAACAGTAGTGATCAGAGCTATGCATGAATCAGTGATGGATAGTTGAGGAGAATTAGATGCTGAGGAGTGTTCATCTTTAAGTGAGGGGCTAGCTACCGTTGCCGGGTCTTTGAAAATCTGAACTAGGCCTACACTAGCCATCCCCACATTGAGTAACAAAAGGAGAATTGCCTGCAAGAAAATCAAGGTGTCAATGATCTGAGTTGGAATAAAGACCTCTTGGATGGACATGGAGCAAGGCTTCTAGCGAGAAAAGCACCCAAACCATGCAAATACGAGGATAATAGCATGTCCAAAAACAGACTAGGATGATACAAACAAGATATCAGAACACGGAAGACGACACTAGCTGATATCACGGGTATGTTTGGCGTTGATAGCCTAAACGTAAGATGCGCAAAAACTCTTCGAACATACAAACATTTTCTTGAAATAGCCATTTGTCACACTAACACGTTTACAACGCCAGCTAAGAAGATGTGAAGGAGAAAACCTGGGGGACTTTGCAGCAACTCTGAATGGCTCGTCGTAGATAAAGAATGCCTGATGTTGCTAGCAGGAAGCACACAACTTGCCCTTCACTAACTGTTTACAAAATTCAACCAGGAGAGAAGTAGTGAGATAACAAACTAAAATCTGTAGGTGACCCTAGAAGATTCGTCCAAACAAATCCTCAACAAACAGGAGTTACGTAGTGCCTTCACTTCAAAAACAGCACATTACGTCAGTTATTTGTTGAGAATGCCAGTAGTTGGTATATCCGGTTATGACACAACAATATAGCGACTAGTTTCAAAAGTTGGTGTTTTTCCTTGATAAATGAAATCACAGTACAATTACACCAGTAGCTAAGTGACCTACATTATGTTTTCATCACAAGACAGTTGACATTAAAAATAAAAAAATCGATCAAGAATCTTGAGGCATAAATTAACTTACGGATATAGCTGTTTGACAGTAGTCCACAAGCATGCAAGCCCACAAAGACGATAGCCATGCTTAATTTAGCATTTGGTATGCATGCCTCCCGATAAGAAGAGCAAACTGTCTGTCCTTTGGCATAGATATTCTGATCACTTTGCACTACTCTTGGACCACGCGCGGGAAAAACATATGCAATGATAGAAACCAAAGCCACTGCTGCCAGGGTAGTATATACTTGCCCACCAGCAATCACAGTTGCAAATAATGACGATTCCACCCATCCTGTCGTTGTATAAAATCCCAAGATAACACCTAGCCAAAAAGTTCAAATCAGATCAGATATTTCTATAATGATGAGTGGTTCCCTTTCTTGGGTTTCAGACCCCTTTCTACTGCACGATGATCATACTTGTGGCTATTGAAAATTATGATTCTAAAACCTCATGCAAATACAGGATTAAGAGTATTACTCATCTACCCCACCTGCAATGGCTGCTACAACTCCACACGCCATTACCATTCGCTTAACTGGAAACAATTCTTGCAGGTTGCTCTGTATCTCAGAATTTTTATCTTCACTTGATCGTGATCCGACTGATAGGCTCAAGGCTCTCTTAAGAGCAACTCCTTGAACAACCATAGAAATGATCAACAGAAAGAGTCCTATGGCCATCCACTCATCTTCAAACTGTGTCCATTGTGTGCGTGCCAAATTAGCTGCAGCAAGTAAGTACCCCATGTTGTCTTGTATGCTATCCAGTAGGTTTATCGTTGTTTCATCCGATATTTCCTTGAACTTGCTGCGGTCCGAAACTGAGTCATTGGTTCCCATTTGAATGTGATCCATGTACAAGGAATGTATATTGACCAGGGCCTTTTCATACAAACTTTGAACATATGCTAGGTCGGATGTTGGAAATCCACGTATACTGGATGTTGAATAGGTATCTAGATATCGCTTAACCTGCAACGGAAGGGTGTCTTAGAAAGTTTCCACTAAAAAAGAGTTATAGCAAATAAAAACAATGACTCGCCATAGACCATACAGCTAAGTCACACAACAGGCATGAACACCCTCATACGAACCACAAGCTTAATAATTGCCACAAAACAAAACATGCGAAACGGTAAAGTGGAGGAAAAAAAGAAGAGGACATGCAAAAGTAAAAATCCAGACATCTGCCACAATTGTAACCGAGACAGACCTCAGAAGTTTGAACAGGTAAAATTACACAAGTAACAATCTGCTTTGCTCCTTGAATTTAGGTCATAACAGAGAAAATAAGTTGACGTAACGACCTTGAAGTGGCTCTTTATGAATAAGCTTATAACCAACCAGTAATATAACTTCAACCATACAAAAGCTTTTAGAGTAAAAAGTATATCTAAAGAACTAAATACCTGCCAGCTATTCATGCAGAGCACAAGACTGTATCTCTCCATCCACATGCGAATCGGGTCTTCAGGAGGGTGATCTTCACTTTTGAAGGGCCATGTGGAAGCAGCTAAAGCATACAACTCTGTATTTACACGACCAACGCTGCACAAGAAGTTGCAAACCAGCTGTGACAATCAAGAACTCCGAATGCCACATCAACAAGCATGGTTTATTGATGGACAATCTCGACAGTCTCTGAATTGTTGACAAAGGAATAGACTTAATCAAAATCCAACCAGGAGATGGACGAGTTGTAGCAACAAAAGGACCACGTCACACTCACTGACCTGCCAAATGGGAATGGCACACCAAGAAGAGCTGCCATCGTTGAAGCGAAATCCAACTGCCAAAATTAGGATGTATGAACACAGGTTGTTGATTAATTTCACTTGGTTCCTTGAAAAATAGCACACTAAGACTTGATCAATTAAAGCAACTACATCTAGTAATTGCTTAAACAGCGGCGATTCCATTTAAACGATATGCAGCTGAAAGGGTCTGGAATGTCGACGCACCTGAGGGAACGTAGTGATACAAGGACTTTGATCTCTGTTTGACTCCTGTTCACAAACAAACAGTAATCGTTAGAATCTCAAAAACACAAAGCAAGACTGTTGAGGAGCACTTAATTCTCTCCACATATTCCCAGAATCTTTTGAAGTAATGTTACCACCATAGGAAACCAACTAAATTTCAGAACGAAAATTCGGGATGTGTACAAAGTCTTACCGTATTGATTGTGCATGTCGAAGACTGGAGATCCAGTGGTAAACGACCTGGCGATTCACGCATGCTCAAAGCAAACAATGCGGTGTCTACCTGCCAATTCCATTGACACAAAGTTCAAAATGAACAACTGAAATGGTAAGAGTGAGCTGATCATCAATTTTACACCCTTAGAACAAAAACTTGAGGTCAGATTATGAAGGGAACATCGTTTCTGTGTTAAAAGTAGAGAACGAAAATGATACTGTCTCAATTACTCTACATGCGTCTCAATCTTGCTATCATTCACAGTACATACGCACACATTGTAGAGAAAATAATAACCTCTTCTGATGTACCACCACCGTGATCTCCATGCAATGTCTGACCATGGTCGCCTAAGACCAACAACATGGTATCCTCATGCGAGCCCCCCGGCCCAGATTGGTTCTTGAGCACAGTCACAATGTCCTATTGCACAAAACCAAACATCAAAAATTGTGCCCGTCAAGAGTTGATGACCACGTATGATGTTTTCTCAAAAAGTTCAAGAACTACGAAGGATGTAATTTTAAAATTTTGATATTCCTGCTTTGAAACATAAGAATAAACCACAGAAGCAAGGAAAAAGTGTCTTTTATTATGGTAAAATTCAGCCCAAGACGAAAGAGTTGATTTAACAATTAAATAACCGCCTTGGTGATCAGACACACTGTTACGATAATCAGGGCAGCTGGGAAGAAACCCAAACCTCAATGACTCGGTCGTATTGTTCCAGCTTCTCCACCATCAAAGGCGACTCCACGCCAAAAATATGTCCCACGTGATCCTGCTCAAGCACTTTATCAATACTTACAACAAAATTCTAACCAAACGCGACAGTTTACGATTACTTTGTCATAGCTATTCAGACATTGCATTGATTTAGTTTGATAGACAGCAGGTTTCACACATAGAAATCAAGAATTTTTCGAATATGTGTTATGATGAGGATTAATTGCATTCATGTGACTGCAGAGAAAATTCTCTTACTTGCCACTCCAAAGTAGATGATCTGTGCAAGATCTTAAGACAATCGGTCGAGAATTTTAAGAATACACATAGATAAACTGGAAGTTTTTAGCTTTAATCCTCAAAAATGTTTTGAGATTGACGGGGTAAGACTGACAGTAGTTGAAAAAACAGTTGAGATTACTGACTTCAGATTTCGAAGAAACAATACCACACGCAACACCAATGAAAAAGACACTACAGCAAGATTTTATTGAACAGATGAATGATTGAGAATCATGGCAGAGCAAAGCGTGCCTGGTCCTTAGAGAAGTACCACGCCAAGGAAGTGAGCTATCAATACATTCCAGTCAGGTTCTAACAAAGCCGGAAAAATCTCACGAATAACTCCATCATCCACCTGTTCTCAGCAATAACACGGGTAAAGGATTAGCCCAAAATAATTTCACAGTATAGTGAAATGTGAAACAATAGTATCAGTAAACGGAAGAGTTAGAAATCCAAGAAAATACATATCAACAATTATAAAATTCTAATCAAGTGCGTAAGTGGGTCCTTTCAGACCGACGAGTCCACTTCAACATCTCCATAACAAGTACGATGAACTTCAGGTGTGTTCGAGGATCAGCAAAAGGTTTTACAACAGCTTGTACTGTGGTCTAGGCAGTAAAGTTTTCTAAACTTATGATAACACCTGAGAATGTGACATGCCTAGCACGGAAATTCTCACAAGGACATCCAAATAGAAAACGTCTCCCATTTAATTGACCAGGGTAGATCAGCAAAAAAAAATAACGAAAGAATCAAATAGCTCACAGTACTTAGGGCCCCTCAGACATTTCTAAACCACCAGATCATGACCAGACTAAAGGGTCTGGATATTACATCAATCTCAAATCCCCGAAGTCGCCAGAGATATGCTCACCAAGACATTCGGAAGACTTAAGAGCTCAAACCGCTGCGTACACACTGGTAGCTCAGGATACGAACCTTAATTCTATAGAATATTTTGAGAGGCTACAATCCAAAAAAACATACTCAAAAAACACAAACATCGATAATGGAATTCTCAGACGTTCGAAAACGTTCGAAAATGTGCTTCTCGTGCACAGCGGGACAATTCAAAGCTCAACAGCTTCAGCTTAGATTTCCACAAGCTAGCTTCAGCATTGAAACTGGATCATGCGTGTTTTTCTACTAACCAACCAACATGGATCAAACTAGAACGATGGGACGAAGTGTAAAGCAGAATAATGCTACAGTTCAGCAGTGTGTTGAACATTTTGAGAGTTCCTTATTAAAGAAATCCGACATTGCAGAGAACTCAGAACAAGTGCATCACTTTCTGAACAAAAGGAACATCCTCTTTTATGTGAATGAAGGTAAACAAGAGAACTATTCACAAACCAAGAATACATTTCACACTAGACATGACTGCAAGGCACAAGCATACCCAACAAATTCCACTAAAAGAGTACATTTCAAGTGAGTATCCATAAACTGGGAATGTTCTGTGTATGGAAAAAGCCAGTTAGCACTAAATTTAAATGTCCTGAAAAGGTTGAGAGACAATTCAGTTATGCAACTAAAAGTCAGTTCTCAGATAACGGTCCAGGATGTTTGTATATGAAATATTAATAAAATTGACAGCATACAAGCCTCAAGGAATTTTGTATGTAAAGAATCCACTAGAAAAAAAGGACTTATTAACAGAACTCTAAATACAATCACTTGAGGATAAGGTATAGTGATCTTAACATCAAACAATTGGACTAAAAGAAAATCATACAAGGCAGAGGTAACTTAGTAGATCCTAAGCCCTGAATAGCGAATGAGCAGAGCAGATACAGCGTCAAGAATACCGAAAGTGGAAAAAGTTTTATGAGTAGGTTCTTACAGTGTGAAGGTCCTTTACATTGAAAGAATCAAAAGGATGCGCCACAGAAAAATGAGAGGGAAATAGCTTCATCCATGTGTCATCCCCCATCATTCGTACTTTCTTTCCACTCTGTACCAACTGTATCAGAAGGAAACTAATAAGGGAAAAAAAATTAAATTAAATTCAAAAAAAAAACGACACTAATAGTTATGTCAATGCCAGAAAAGAAAAATATCCTCCTACTAAAATTTACCACATCCGTGAATTACAGAAAACCTGTCTATTTTCTGAATCACAACCCAAGAGAGAAAGTGTTGTCTCATCTTCGTAACAATTATTTCCTGTGACGATTTGAACATTTACTACAAGCATACAAATGTTTCATCGAGAAACACAAAGCCCTAAAACTTCCACTACAAGTAATCATCATTGCTGTATGGAATCAAATATAGAACCAACCTTAACTTTACGAAAAGGTAAGCAATGACAATTGCACGTTAAAGGATGATTCACCAGACTAAGTAGCAGTATTGTAACTGACTCAAAGTGGTATTATACAAAGATTTCAGAGTTACAGAGCTGCATTTTTCCCAGAAATCTTGACCACAACGTAACAATAATGGAGCTAAAACCATGGATACCCACAAGATCATAGACACACACGCTAACACTTTCAAGTATGCGATATGACATTTTCTTGAATCACTATATCTTATCCTCAAGGCATTTGCCTCTTTTTGGTTACCTGCTAGATAGTATGAAATATCCTGTCCTGAAATAGCTGCCATATATCTCCAGTGATCAATACGGGACAGCTATTGGCATTCTACTTGAAATCCAGGAAACAGAATAGCCATTTTGGATTCACTAAAAATTTGCAGATAAAAGACAGGAAAAAACTCTACCTGATAAATAAGATTGTCCTCCACAATTGCGGGAGCTCCAAAACTGTCTCCGATGTCGACAAACGTGGGCAATCCTCCAGTTGTCAACCCCTGTAATTCAAGCACAAGCCTTGTGAATAGACGCTCTGCTGCTGCGTCATCCTATAACGAAAAACTCCGGCTCTCTCATTACAGTTAATCCTAGTCAGGAAAAATTAATCCTAGTCATTAAAAAGAGGCCGTTAGACCTGAGATAATATCAGAATTGTAACCCAACAACAAAACAAGCCGATATTTTGCTCATGCTTGAAGTAAAATAGTTTTCAAGAATCTCAAAAGAAAGAATCTAAATGCTTCAGAGGATATTTCAGGGAATCGAGCTTCTGAATAGAATTTACATAGTAAGGATAGGGCCCGTCTCTGAGGAATGTTCACTAACTTCCACCATATTCAGAATTTCCAATACTTGATCAAACAAGATTGCTAAGGACACTTGAGCTGCATATTTCAACTAAACAATCAACAGATACAATTTTTTACGAGATGAGCAGCGCCATTTGACTGCAAGAGAATGCACCTTTAGACGTTGCAGAGTGGTGGTAGGAGGATCAGCCACAAATTTGAAAATTCGAGCCGATCCATTTTCTTCCTTATAGAGCTTCTGCAGCACCCGTAGCTTGTCCATCCAAGGTTGGCTCTCTGAAAGACCAAACTAGGAGCATGTCAATACTATGCTCAAAATCGGACAGAATGTCGAAATACTGTTAATACGTTTGATGACTCAAATTTCAAGATTTGGTCTAGCTTAACCCTAATGTCGCAAACAGTAAAACTACCCATAATACTCATTTCGGGGGTCAACTCATGCAGAATCAACTCTGTTCAGGCTAAGGCCAGATGCAGCAACCAAGTAATCTGTCCAGAAAGACGGACTCAACCAACACAGGTAACCATATTTAGCGAGTACATGAAAAACAACAATCCTTTATAATGCAAGGCAGATGAAATGGGTGCAACTACAGAAAAGCCCAACCTCCAGGAAAATGGCTGCTAGGTGCTACAAAGTCAAATCTGTCAATCAAATAATCCCGGTTGTTAGTTATTAACAAAAAAAAGCAACATCGAGAAACAATTGACGTCACCAACGAGCACAATTCTTGGGCTAAAAGCAGATAATTGAATGCGGAAACAACAATTTCTCTCTAAATAAAAAAAAAAAGATTGAAAGCCACAAATAATCAGAAAGATAAAGAGCATTAAAGTGAAAGCCAAATTGTAGATGTGACCTTGTTAGTGAAGTGGCATTAGCATTGCAAACTTGTTCATGGAATTGAACATCTCATCATATAGTTTAGACAACAAAACCACACAAGATCTGCTTTGATGAAAGTAGCCGAACATGCGCCTATGTCAATGGGTTAGTTCAGAAAGTAGTATACCTCAAAGCATCAATGACAATAATAATGACTCGCTTGATGGCAGGCTTCGTCCAGCATTCACTACTTGGTTTGTCGTCACTTTGTCTATTCGTCTCGATATTCTGATGTTCCCATAAACCACACATTGCATCAACCCCATAAGAGGTTTCATTTGTTTTATTCCTTGCAGCAGCTATGCTTAAACGGTATGTTTATGACTAAACAAATCTCGAACAGGAGAAAAGCTTCTTATAAATAGGTCGAAAATGAATAGATCATATCAGTATAATAGAACAATGGATCATTTGAAACTTTAGGCTTCGATAATTGGTCGTCGATTTTGCGTCTTCATGATGAGTGAAGGAAAACAAAGTAGAACAAATTTGTGCTCGCTGCGATTGCTGGCACTGAGTATGGCTATATCGTAAACAAAAGATATCGAATCACTTGTCCAGGATAAAAGTATAGAAAAGCATATTCTGAGTTTGTTCTTTCTAAAACGACAAAAAGCTTCTAGAGAAAATGGCATGCATTTCATTGTCTTTCAGTAAAATGACAAGATGATTTTTGGAGATCCAATACTCACCTCCTCACGACCTCCTTCAACCGCCTTTCGAATCCCATCATCTTGTGAAAAGAATGCCTCACCTTCTACTATCTTATCAATTTTCTCAGTAAGATTAACGCTAGAAGCTGCGTCAAATCAAGATTGAAGCTTGTGAACATACGGAGCGAATCACACCAATCCAAAAAAATCAAGAATCGAAGTAACAACAACAATAAGAATAATAATACTAATAATAATAATAATAATAATAATATAAAATCATGTGATTTGAACGGCAGAAACACAAGATTACCCGTATCACTTAAGGCCGTGTATTTTCCAAAGCATCCCGACTTGGCTACGTCAGAGCAAGTACTGAACTCCGGAAGTTCTGTTCGAGTAAGCAGAAATCCACGAGTAAAGAATATTATAGCTAGTGAATGTAAGAAGAGAATGTAGCAGAAGAGTCCTACAATGCGGCACCTCGCATCGACTGCCATGATGCTCTAAGATCTGAGCTCCCCCGGAGTCTCTACAAAAACAAGATTTGCAAAGATGTCAATTCGAACTTCAATGAGATAATACTGAACCTTAACTTTTTAGTCTAGTTTCTGCCAATCAATACTACATTATGAAGAAACCTAATTTACAGAGTTCGTGAAGACAACCTGGTCTGGCCACGGTTTATTCCTCGGCCAAGTTTCTGACAGTTTCAGATTTTACACTCTCGGCTTCTAGAAGAAATAACCAAGTACCTACGTTTCTCTCCGAAGCTATCCAATGTCGAAAAACACCATGAGAACAGCAATCGAATTTAGCACACTAAAACGCACAAACTAGAAATTGGTCGACCATCATCTGTAAAATGTCACTGTTCAAATTGCTTCAAACAATAGGTATGAACATTTCCCCTGCTAAGCTCCTAAACTGTCTGTAGATTCTTCCTCGTAAACTGCATCCAGATAATCTCGCCACACCTACCTCTCACAAACTAAATGAACACCCTGGAGATCAAAAGCCAGGAACGAGCGACAAACGAGAAGCTGCATCAATAGTTTTTTTTTTTTTTTTTTTTTTTTTATTATTTTAAATATCAACAACAGAAACAGCTGCGTAATTTGTTTATTATATTTTATTTTTTGTTTTAATCCTAATATACACCTGAATACAAACTCCGTCAATAAGTTTAATTCAACAAACAAAGCCTCAAGAAGCTACCGCACCTTAGATCCCGATCATCTCACTCGTTAAAACCTGTGTCGGAAAATACAGAAACCAAGAATTCTCCCCGACTTCACGTTGATCGAATTGTTTCTTATCCACGCGTTAAACTGCTCGACAGCACATTCCTCAGAAACGTAAACGAAGAAGACAACAAGAGATGGATTCAATGGAGAGCTGCGACTGAGAAAACTGCGTCGCGCATAATCGCAGTTGCAGACATGTCTCCGAGGAGGTAAAGCTGCAAGCAAAACCCCGCACGCACTCAAACCTCCTCCATCTCCATCTCCTCCTCCGCCTCGCTCATCCATCCGAAGGTGTTCCACGAGCGCCGTAATTCCGGTCAAACACAGCTTTCCGAGACAAAACTTATACTAGCTTGATTTATTCATTTCATGTCGCACTCTGGACTCATTGTTTTGTTAGGGTTTTGTTTTTCATAACTCTCTTCTTATGAAGGTTTTTTACTTTTTGGCTTGTTACTGAATCGGCACACATTGAAGAATTCTTTTAACACCACACCTTACAATATATTTTTTTATTTTTATTTTTATTTTTCGTTAGTTTGAATCTGTAGTAAAGTAAAGTTTGTGCATTGCTTCTTGTGCAACTTCAATGGTTTTTTAAGAGAGAGGGATGGTTTGGTTTGTTTTGAATCTTAATTTTGATGGCTTGGCTTGTCCTCCCATGTTTCTCTTAACATACGACGTGCATTTTATGACGGTTTTTGATATGTTCTTGCAACTTTGTCAAATAGGTCATAATTTTGATGAGAGATGTAATGGAATTTTGCAAAACATAATGTGTAAGATGAATGTATCCAATTTCATTGCTACTCCATTTCACTCTCATGTGCTCTTCTTGCTTCTCATTACTAACATTAATTTTTGCATTGCAAGTATAATTAAGATTTATCTTTAAAAAATGAAAAAATAAAAATAAAAATAAAAATAAATCACAATTTTCAACTCATTTTAAACTTTTGGTACTTGATATTATTATACATTTTACATATTTTAAATGCATTTAAACAATTATCACTAAATGCTAAAGTTAGATGTATTTACATTCATTAGGGACATTAAAAGAAGAAGCCAAATTTGAGGATGGATATTTAAGAACTTTAAGACTAATGTTTGTGGAATACATTGTTTCTAAGAGAATGGAAGGAGTTGATTTTTCATTGTTATTGTGATTTTATTTTATTTCATGTGAAATTTGTCTGATACTCCAAATAAATCATAGGAAAGGAATAATTTTGCAGTAAACCCACACAAAATGGTCTAAAAACACACATGTAATATTGTTATTCTTGGTAAGATGGCTCATGTTTAGTGTAGTTTTTTTTTTCTTGTAGACAAACTTTTATTTAAATACAAGAATAAATTGTAATAGATGATGCATGAGTTATGAATTATTGAAGTGATCAATTTGACTTCTTGCAAGATTCTGCATCTTTATTAGACAGAAAATAAAATTTCAATGTTTGTGGTATATTGCATATCAATCACAAGTTCATTTAATGTGCATCATGGAGTGTAGAAATGAATTTAATAGATAAATTAAATAACTAAAAAACAAAGTTCAACAATCTCATATATTGATTAATTTTGTTTCGTTTAGAATTCATTGAGAAACAAAACAAGTAGCACAAATGATTTTTAATGATTTACTTTAAATTTTAATTTAATTTCAATCATAGTTGCATGATGCTGTTATGTAGCAATCTATGCTTGTGGCTGTAGTTAAGAGTTGCAAAAATAATTCATCCTGTAATTAATCTTTTTAATATATATTAAAGAAAATCAAAGGAAATGTCATGTCACAATTACACAAGAGATTAAAATTATGTATTGAACAATGTCTGTGAAAACAAGTCAATAATGTAACTAAATCATAATAATTTGAAACTTGATAAGTTAACATGTTCATTTAATGGTATGCCAAGTAATGAGAAATTATTTTTAAAAATATATAAAAATTCAATAATGTAGATGAATGTTTCTTTTTTCTTTCTTTTTTTTTTCTTTAAAAGAAAAATATGTGAGATTACATTTCTTTAATTAAAAAATCAAAAATATGAGATAAGATTTTCATGCTATGCCCTCAACATATTCATGTTATTCTTTAGGAAATTTTCAGAAAGCAAAACTTTTAAGTATTTTGGATTAATGGATGTCATCACCAATGTGTATACTTCAAAGCCATGTTTATTCTATTGTATGTTTTGAAGATACATTTGAAGATACAACTCATAGTTTTTTTTTATTATTTTTTAAATATGTAAATAATAGCCAAAAATAATTGCATGTAAAACTAGAAATATATATATATATATATATATATAGAAACTATATTTATATATAAACTAAATCTTAAAATAAACAAAAAGTATACAAATTGATCCACCAAAGACTTGCAATGAAATTTATATATATAAAATATATATATTTTAGTAGAAGAATATTTTTAAAAAGACAAATATATGAATTAAAATAGAACTATACAAAGTTGTAAGTATAACTTATATATATATATATATAGAGAGAGAGAGAGAGAGAGAGAGTGGATAAAGTCACCTCCTAATCTTATTAAAGCCACCTCATCCTTGCTATGTCATGATTGATTCCATCCATCCTTGTCTTTGTCTTCCATTTCCATTTTCCAATCCAATACCTCCCATCTTTGTTTCTTGTTCCCAATCCCCTATGCTCCTTCTACTTCCTTGTTTCTTATGTCCTATTAAGGCTAGAATGGCTATTAAATTGGTGTTTGCGAATGAACATGAAGAATGGACATAATCAATCATGTGATGGCAAAGGAGGGTGTGACTCTAACAACATTGGCATGTGGCTTTAACATCTCTCTTTCTTTCTCTTAATATGTATATATATATATATATATACACACATACTCTTATACATGGTTATTTTGTGCTAACACTTGAAATTCTATGGTGTGTTATAATATGTCTTATATGTCAATGCATGTATTAAGCATAATTATTTTAACCACTCCTTGCAAAAATAAATATATTTTAAAAAGAACTTGAACTAAACTTGTATATTAATATGGTGTATAATCTTAATCATAAGTCTAAAATATGTATATATTTGATATTTTTTCAATTATAAAAAACTAAATACTATGTTTTATATTTTATTTAAACTTAATCTAAAAAGTAGCCAATACATGCACATACAATGGAAACAATATGTATCACTAACATTATCATGATACCAAAAACATATTTACACTACAAAGCTAAAATTAAGATAAATCAATGAATTCATGTCTCTTTTTTTTTTTTTTTTTTTCTTTTCCCCATAAAACCCCCTCAGTGTATCAAAGCTAACATATACTTTTTAAAATGTCATATAGTTTTGCTTGTAAAAATTTTAAACTTAAAAGAAAAAAAAAATCCCTTCAAAAATTTAATGCAATGTTGAGTTTGTTAATTTCCATGGGGAAAACTAGCACTGCAACTCTAATTCTCTAAAAAAGTTGCAAAAAATTGAAAAAATTGAAAAAAAAAAAAAAAAAAACTCACAACCCACGTAGGCGCCAACACATCTCAAAATAATTGAAGCAGAAGAAGAATTCAACAAACTGGTGGAGGAGAAGGAGAAGGAGCGGTTTCAGGGACAGAGAGAAAATGGATGAATGAATGAAAAAGGGATATTTGCAGGAAAAGGCCTTGTCCTGAAGCGCAGGAATAGAAGGCCCCCACGGAAATAGGTCTGGCGAAAGGCGCCCTGTCCACACTGGCAGGCAGGCAGGCAGGGACTCACTCCAACACTGGGCTCCTTTGCAACTGGCAGAGCTGAAGGAAGAGAGAGCCAAGAGTGAGAGGGACTGGGTGAGTGAGTGAGGCCACCCCACCGTCACCACACCGCTGCTGCATGAATGCCGTCTCTTCTTCCGTATCCTTCTTATTCTTAGTCGTCTTATTCGTCTTCTATCCACTTCTACTTCATCTTCCCTTGTTATTGTCGCTCTTCTGCCCCTCTTTTTCGCTTCTTCAGCTGCTCGCCCAGGTGGATTCTCTCACACTCTTTTTGCTTTCTTCTTCTTCTCTTTCTCCTCTTGTTTCCTGGTGCTGGCTCTTGGTCTTAGTACCGTGGTACTTCGCAATTGTTCTGCTGTTTTTTTTGTTCGTTTGCTGTGGTTGGGTTTGTTTGCCTAGAGGTGCGTTTTTAACTTTTTTCATGAAGCGTTGGCTTCGTTTTGGGTTCTCTTGTGTTGCAGGTTAGGGGAATGTGGATTTGGGTTAATTGTTTGGTGGGCTTTGTTAGGGTTTAGTCTCTAGAGGATTGTTGGTAGTTGATTCTAGAGATAGTTTGCTGTGTTGGTTTGTTCTGTTTTGTGGATTTGAGTCATTGGGATGGAGAACCGGTTTTGGAAGGTTAGGGGTTTGTTGCTGGATGTAGTCTAGTGCGTTACTGGGAGGATAGGGTTGAGATCAGGAGAATGGGTTTGTTGGGGTGGAATTGACGTTGAGTAGTGCATTGTGTGGCCTTGTGTAGTCTTTCGCAACGAGAATTCTTTGCGAATTTTGGGGTAGCCATGGCATCCTCAGCAATGCTCCAGAACATTGCAGTTGCCTCCTCTGCGGCAACGAGCGTAGCTCGGTTCAGGAGCATCGCGGCGGCACCTTCTAGCCAGCGCGTCGCTTTGGGTCAGAGCCATCTTGGTAGTGCTAAGGTTTTTTTTACCCCTGCACGAATTGGCTCACGCTCGAGCTCGCACCGTGCTGCCACGCAGGTAGTGGCTTTGAAGGACCCCTCTTCACAAGATAATCTGAAGAGAGCAGTTGCGAAGAAAGCTATTGAGCTGGTGAAGTCGGGAATGGTGGTAGGGCTCGGTACTGGTAGCACATCCTCCATGGCTATCGAGGAGTTGGGCAACTTGATCCAGGCGAACAAGTTAAAAGACATCGTGGGCGTGGCCACTAGTTACCAGTCTAAGGTGCTTGCCCGCCAGTTCGGAGTGAAGACCGTCGACTTGAATGACGTGAACCACATCGACATCGCCTTTGATGGAGCGGATGAGGTTGATTACTACTCAATCTCTTATGTCTAAAGTCCTGTCCATGTCTTTGAAATAGTCTAGGGTTTTAACAATGCTCTAGTAATGCTCAGACTGTGCGTAAGAATTGCGGAAACAGGGCTGTAATGAACGTCGAAGAACTCTAGAATCACGTGTACCAGAGTGACATAGCGCTGTTTTTCTACAGTTGTGGACGCTACCAGCGAAGTATACCACAGAATTCTAGAACATCTTACACATGGACTGTATTGCATGACTGTTCTCTTCACATGCGCATGTGATATGAAATAGGCGAGATTTTATCTTTAGAGATGCATTCCTACCAATAGATAGTGTTGTGTCATACTGGATGTGTATTAATAGCGCATGTTCCTCATTGCAGGTTGATTCGGGCATGAGCTTGATCAAGGGAGGAGGCGCGGCTCACACCATGGAGAAGGTGGTAGACTCTATTGCGAAGGAATGCGTGATTCTTATTGACGAAACTAAAGTTGTCAAGACGCTTGGTCTTTCATTCCCCGTTCCAGTCGAGGTTCTGCCTTTCGCCCTTGCACCTGTTCTTCGTGCATTGGCTGCTTTGGGAGGACAGCCCGAAATCCGCACTGCTCTTCGAAAGGATGGCCCAGTCATCACGGATCTGGTTTGTTACTGCTCCTAAATAATCTACATTGAGCTCATCCAATTGAACAGTATATAATTTGACTATCTTATTTTTTATTTTTTTATTTTTATCTATTGAGCCTTTGTTGAACATCAAAATAATGCTGCAGTTAAATTTGAAACATATTTTTATTCTTGCTCTCGTTGCTCGAGTTGTACTTGATGATTTGTGGTCGATATGGTTTGCTAGGGTAACATGGTCGTCGATGTGAGATTCCCCGAAGGCGTGAAGGACCCTGCTGAAATGGAAACCAAGATTAACATGATCCCTGGAGTTATTGACAATGGTCTTTTCATCAACGTTGCACACAAAGTGTTGGTGGGTACAAAAGACGGCGACGAGACCTCAGTTGTAGAATTCGCCGAGTTTGTATCCAGCATGAAGAGTTCCACAGAGGGAGTCTCAGCTTAAAGCACGAGCAATCCACTAGTTCAATGCGATTGAAACTTTTGCCTAATTATACCCTTACACACGATAGAGTATTGTGAGTCTTAGTTGTGGTATCTTACGACTCATGGTGCCATTCATGAGCTCCCTCATTTCTTTGGCGTTGTACTAATAGCCAGTGAAGGGTCTGCAGTCAGCTTCGAGAGCTTCTATCAAACTTAGCTCAATTCTCTCATAAGTAGACCCTTTTTTAGATTTTGTGAAGAGCTCTGAGCAAGATGGGGGGAATGCCGCCAATCAACTGCTCTACTTGTAGCAGTAAATTGGACGACTTTCTACATCCGGGAAATCACGTATCTGATCAGAAGGCATAGCAATGTTGAGAGGGAGTATTCGTTAAATAATCACATTTGCTTGCTTCCTGTTTCGAAGTGGTCAATTAATTGGCTTGTCTCTTCTTTTTTTTCTTCGTCTCTTAATTTTCTATCTTCTACACCGAGTGCCTGAGGAACGTCTTTACTGACGACGTGAATTAGTAAACATGATCTATCTAGAGAAAAATGTGGGTAGATTCGATATAATACAAATAAACTTTAATAATGGTGGCTGAACAGAACTTTTGCTTTAAAGAATAGTTGCACTTTCATGGAGAATTTAATATGAACACACGCACCAAACATGATGTTAAATCCTCTATAAAACCAAATACTTGTATCATACTTAATGCGTGATCATCAACCGATGCATTCAAAAAAAATCTCTCGAAGTTGTATTTCTAGGTTATATTCTCGTAGAACCTTATTTGTATGATGTGATTGGAAGTGTTTTCTAATCTATGTTGCTTTTACCAATTATTTTCTACAAAGATGTTACAATGCCTTTGTGAATTACAATGAAGTTGTTTGTTGTCTATGATAACACAAAGTAAATTGGTTACATATTTGTTTTTATGCCTTAGGGATTTTTTTAGTATTAAGAGAAAATTAGAGTCTATTGAGAATTACAAAATGTATTTTTAAACAATTAATCTGATTTTTCTGTGATAGAATCTAAAGTATAATGATTATAAGTTAAACTAAGAAAAGCACAGAAGTTCAAGATTCTACTTTCAAAGTTATTAATAAACATTTTCAAACAAAAATACATGGTAGATTTTAATAATATTTTTCATCACTTCAATAAAAATGATGTAACAACCTTTGCTCCAAATGTTTTAATGCAAAGCAAAAGTTACTCTATAATTTGCACAAATTAAGATACACAAACCAATTTTTTATTATACATATATATATATATATATAGTGGAAGTTGCTGAAGCAATACTCCATGTTATTAACATGACACCCCCTTGGAATCTCATGATTAATTTAGTTTATCCTCCATCTCCCCTCCATGTTTCTAGCCCCTATTGTTAGTCTTTATTCCCCCATCTCCATTCCCAACACTCATCATTTGTTCATGTTCTCATTTTATATAAAATAATATATAACTTTTAAAGCACCTCATATTTTTTACTTAAGAAACCAACCTTTAATCCCAAAGCCTTCAAATATGGATTTTACACATGATATATATTTCAAAAGACTTGCACATTTTAAATTTTAATTGAATTTTTTAAGATTCAACAACTACACAAAACACAATCAAGTAATCCAACAATGTTCAAATTAAAACAAGATGTATTATCTTTTAAATGCAATTAGAAGATTGCAATGCAACATCAACAATGTTTTAGTCATAAAACAATTTTATAAAAAACAACTTTGTTCAAGGTTATTGTTGCCATTTACAATGATAAAGAACAATAACATGAGATATGGGTTGGGAATAGAGAACTGAAGAAAGAAAATGGGATGGGGACGGTGAACTGGGGGACAAGGGCTAGAAACATGGGATTGAGAAAAGAGAACAAAGATGGAGAGGTCGGAATGAAGGACATAGGTCGTTGGGAATGTAGATGGAGGGAATAGGTACGAGGGACACATGTTGGGAATCTAAAAGTGTTGCTTTAGCAACTTCCTATATATTTTATTAGTTTTAAAATATAAAATATTTATAATCGTACCAAACTTGCTAATTGTTAAACATGAGTTGCAAATTTGTTCAAAATTACATATAATATCCTTTTATAATCAGACATAACTAAGTACTAGACTTTCATTAATAGATGTTCTATGAATTTAAAGTAATCAAATATAATTGACAAGGCTAGTAGAGCAAGTTTCAAGAGTAAAAAATCATTTCTCAATTTGTTCTCTTAGTAGAATAAACATATATTAAGTTATCTAACTTTTATATATAACTTGCTAAATTCCTTACTTATAATATTTTGTTAGTCACTTGTATATTTATTGCAAATAATTTATACTAAATTAACTATCTTACGACTTAGATTATGTTTCTTATAAAGATAAAAATATTATATTTATAAATTTTATAATCACAATATAATATGTTACAGTAAAAATTTATTATGATTTCTATTTAGTATTTTAAAATAAAATTTTAAATTTCTACAATAGCTCAAGAGTGGTGTCAAGCCTTGTTTAACTTGATTAAGGTCTTTTAAACTTCTTTGCGCCAACTTAAACTAATAAGTATACTATACATTATTCAAGTACATGCCAATACTCATTTTTGGTTAAATAACTTTAGTTTTAAAAAACTCATATTTTAACTTATTTACCAGTTAATCCTACAATCTATTTGAAACTCTCACAATTTAGTTTCAACCCCTATTTTGAGTTATTTCTCCTATCAGAAGGTATATATAATTAGTCAATTTCTTATATTACTTAACTAATATAATTTTGAATTTAAATTTTGGCTTAAATACAAATATAAATGCAGATTCATAATTTCTATTCAAAATGATATTTCTTAAACAATAAAACTTGGATCACGTTTTTAAATTTTGTCTAAGTTGTTTATTAATTTTATTTAAAGATTCTAACAACAAAATATAGGATATTAGATGTATTTTGATTTTTTTATATAGTTCCAATTTATTATTTTTTTATATTTTACATTTTATTCTATCTTTAATATTTACTGAGTTTTATAAACTCAAACGTAAGTATCACAAATAGTTTTGAAACATTTTTCATTTCTTACTCTACTTCATTTTTTTAATATTTATTAAATTAAATTTTATTTCACATTATACATGTACAGTCTTCTTATTATTAATCTAAAATAATTATATTTTATTTTATTCTATTGTAGGCATACTTCTTTAATTTGAAAAACATTCTATCATTTATTAAATCAAAATCAAAATAAAAATCTTTATTCTTAATTTATAAATTGGAATTTTTAAGTGTCCTTATTCCACTTCAAAGTATAATATTTTATATAAAAATATTTTGTTATATTATAAACGTACTTTGTTGAAACCACATAATATTAGAGATTATTAGTAATAGTTTAAATTTTTTAAAAAATAAAATTATTCATTTATTTACATCAATTATTTTATGCATCTATTTTGACATAATAATCCTTAAATTCATGGTTTATTGCTTATTTTATTTTTAAAAGAAGTTGCTCAAATAAAGACTCATAAACTTAAATTTTAATTAAACATAATGACTTTTAGTAAGCTAATTATATAATTCTTTTAATATGTATCAAATGATTACATTTGTATTTTCAAGTGCCAAAGTCATCTTTGGAATAGGTACTAAATATGTTGTTTTAATAAAATTACCAATCAATTTTTTAATTATTGAATACTTTTATAATATAAAAAAATATTGTAATTAAATCTAAAGATTGATAAGTAATATAAATTACACACAATCAATTAAGATTATAGTGTATATATATATATATGTATATATATATACAATTAAGATTGATAAGTAATATAAATTACACACAATCAATTAAGATTATAGTGTGTGTGTGTATATATATATATATATATAACCGATGCCACCACAACTTACCATCTACCATATGCCATCATAATTTGTGTTAATGCCACCACAAGCTGCTCTAAACTTGAATTGTACACTAAAACAAACTTCATAGAATATTAATATACACATTTATAAAGAATGTAATTTACACATTGCAATATGTATAATCAATTTTCCATAAATACACTATAGTGTACAACATAAATTTGATATAATTTATAATTAACATTTTATGAATTATATGATTTTTATCAAAATATAATTGGTAGTTTTCAAATTTCAAATTTTAAACTGTTAATTAATGTATTTAAATTATAATATAAAATTAATAGTATGATTTATTTGGCACTTATTTAATCAGGATTATAATTTGGATCATGTAGTCATTTTTAATTTGTTACAAATATTAATATGAATCAAATGATTTCTTATAAAAAACTATTGTTAAAAAAAAAAATAGATATCAAAAATGTTTCTGATATATCTTTTTTATTTTAAATGAATCTCAAAAAATAAAATATTAGTTTAAATTAAAATTAGGAATAAATAAAATAGTCAAATACATTCCTGTGTTTTATATAACATGATACTTACATGCTATTAAGGCTCCAAATATTTTAGATACTTACTTGACCTGAATATGGATTTTTATTTTTATAATTATATTCTATTATGAAGTATTTTTTTTCTATAAATTATGCTACTAAAATATTTATATGAAGTTAATTTGCATACCTCGAAATAATCAAATGGATCCAATTAGAAGCTGGAAAAATCAATCTTTACAGTTTAAAAACTAATCATATTTTATGTAGATGTATAATACTAAGAAACACAATATGGAATTTGACTTCAAAATATATTTGCCTTAATAAAATAATTATTGTATAAACCATAAGTATATATAATCAAAGATGATATTAATAAAATTTTAATTATAATTAAAAGAATAATATATTACTATAAATCAATAAATATATATATATATATATATATATATATATATATATATATTGGATCTTTTATAATTTAAATATAAAATAGTACTGTAATAACAAGACATAGTTCCTTACCGAGACATAGTTCTAATTATAACCAACAAGATGTTCTTTATTGGAACTTATAAAACATATAAAATATTCTATTTGAAGTATGCATGTGTATATGTGCATGAATTTTTTGATTTTTAATTTGATTTAAATTATTATTACTCATGACTATTGTTGTATCTTAAAAAACATTTTAAAAATTATACAACTCTTAAATATATGTAACTTTTGATTGACTAACAACATATCATAGTTTAGAACCAATGTATTCATTTTAATAATTCATATTATTTAATTATTTTAAACTAAAAAAAAAAATTGTAGGTTTATATGTAGTTAAATTAAATAAAAGAAAATAAAATAAATTATTGATCCATTATAAAAAAATATAAATAATAAAATATCTATTTTGTATTATAAATTATTTTATATTAATTATAAAATTTAAATTTTGTGAATCTTTCTTTGTAA